CTGTACTTCCGATTTGATTTGAAACTGTCTCATTGCTATATGTTTATCAATAAAACTGTAGAAAAAAAAATTAAAAAATAAATAAATAAATAAATATACCCAACCCATTATTTTGCCATCATTTGGGGCCATAACCTGTTGTCCTACAAGCTTCACAAAACCCAAGGCAACAAAGGGCATAGCCCCATGAAGACACACAACTTGTCCCAGATCACCAGGATCATGGAGTTCAGCAACTGGACAGATACGCTGAAAATCCCCACGGGATTCTTCTGTCGCCCTCTAGCCTCCTTTAGCATCAACTACAAGGGAGAAAGAAGGGAGGACTCCATTCTCTGAAGGATGGAAGTCTCAATCTGTGATGCCGCAAAATTTTCTGAACTGAGAAATCTGAAGTATTTGTGGTGCAGTTAAGGTTATGTTTTACTTTGGGTTGTGAAATGGAAATTACAGCAAAAATCTTCTAGGGGAAAGGTGTCTTTTTTACACACACACACACACACACACACACACACACACACACCCAGCTTCCTTCCTTAAATGACTGAGCAAAGCTATAGAGTTCAAGCTCTGCGGGTGTGGGGAATTGTAGCTCCATTATCCTTTTTCTGCTCAGAACTTAGTTTTAAGATAGTGCTCCAGGCCATACCCTCTGTGCTCATCTCAACAGGCATCGGAACATCGACACACTCCCTCATCCATATCCCCAACAAAAAGGTAAACACAGAAATCAATAATTCAACAAGCATTTGTATATACAGCTGTTGTTCTTGAGAACCTATGTGCCCCATGTTTTACGTCTGATGAAATCAGTGCTGACAACATCAGTATACCTCTCTCTCCTACGCTGTGCCTTTGCATTTGTGAGCCTGTTTTGTACATTTGAGCACTCTCGGAGGTGTCCTCTCACCTGCTATGAGTTTCCCTGTGCTCTGAGCCCACTTCAGCTGCCAACTGCCACATCCAGGGCTCTTGAAACTCTGGAGAGGGGATGCTGGAGGATGAGGAAAAACAAGAGTCAAGATGCAGAAAGCTGAGGTCGGGTGGAGCCTCCTCTCCTTGTGAGAGAGAAAGAGCTGCTCAGTGACCACAGTGTATTTATTTATACAGTCAGGAGGTTATTGTCAGTGGAAACCCCTCTGCCTAGCAACTTGTTTGCTTCGCTCACCTCAAGCCCCTCATTCTCAGAGCTACACCAGCTTGTTCACATGGCCTGTCTTGAGCACTCTATGTTCTTGGTGCTGGTTTTGCTTTAGCCTCACACCTGTGATCAACCCTCAGCTTCAGCCACTCCCCACAACCAAGAAATAAATTGTTCTCACCTTCTCTAAAAGTGAAGTTCTTCAAGACCAAGAAAAATGATTCAATGCAGGCCGGGGAGATAGCTCAGTAGAATAAATGCTTGCCTGGCAAGTGCAAGGGCCTGCATTCAATTCCTGGTAACACACACACACACACACACACACACACACACACACACACACACACACAAAGAGCGGCTTTGAAAATGATTCAAGGCCAGACGGCGCACCACCGGGACAGCGCGGGCCGAGGGATGGGGCCACCCGAGAGCACGTGGAGCCCGCCGGGAAGCCCGCGGGGCCCGGGAAGCCCGCGCTGCCGTTGCGGGAGCCCGCGCCCTCGAGCGCTG